TGCTCAGGGCTCCGGGGGGGCTTTGGTGGGGCCGGCCATTCTCCGGGCGCTGTAGATGGAGAGGCAGAGCCCGGCGGCCGCCAGCAGCAAAGCCAGGGGGGTCAGCAGCCGCCCCCCCGGCTCAGCCCCCCGCCCCGCTGCCAGCTGCATCTGTGGGGGGAGAAAGGAGAGGAGAGGATTGGGGGGGAGGAGTGCTGTGACACCCCTGGGGGCCAGGGGACCTGAGGTTGTGCCCTGAAGGTTCCCCATCACGCCCACCCTGAGAATGATGATTGGGAGTGGTAGATGGGGGGTTCCATCAACAGCACCCTCGCTGTGAGCCTGGAGCCAGGATACGGCTGGGCATACCCCCCCATAGCCCCCCCCATGGCCAGCAGGCCTGGTGGGCAACACGGACAGGGTCTGGGGGGGTCCCCACAAGCTCCCCCCGTCCCCCCCTCTGGTCACCCCTTACCTGGAGCAGTCGGAAATACCCCGGGGTTAAGCGTCGGGGGCGGATGATCATGGCGCCAACGGGGAGCAGCAGGATTAAACCCTGGGGGGCAGCACCAGCAGTGGGGCTGGGGTGTCCCCCCCCCCAACCAAAACCTCCGGACCCCCCAACCCTGACCACCGGGAGAGGGATCTGCGTCCGTCGCCCGCTCCCTGTCCCCCCCCCCCGGGAAGGGCAGACACGTACCCGGGTGAGCACGGAGCAGCTGTCAGCCCCGATCAGCGCCCGCTGCTCCCCCAAGCGCACACGCCGGGGAGGGGGGAGACGGGCACCCAGACGCCGGCGGGGGGGCCCAGCGCCAGCCCAGGGCAGATCTGGGGTGGGGGGAAAAAAAGAGAGCCGGGCTCGGTGGGGGCAGCTCCATAAGTGGGGTCCCCCCTGCCTCAGTTTCCCCACTTGTGAAGGAAAGGGTGGGAATTGTGACACACACACACACACCCAAAATCCCCCAGCTGGGGGGGAGAGGGTTGAGTGGGGGCTCGCCAGGGGTCTGTGGAGCCAAACCTGGTCTCCTGGGGTGACACGCACTAGTGTCATGAGTTCTGTCGGGACTCAGCCCTCCCTGCATGCTGTGGTTGGGGGGGACACCCCCCCGCCTCATCTCACAGCATGGGGGGGGAAACTGCTGCTGGGGGAGGTGGGGTGACCCCCTGTCCCCCCTGCAATCCCCCCATGGGGAGGAGAGGGCTGAGCGGGGGCTTGCCAAGGAGTCTGTGGGGCCAAATCTGGTCTCTTGGGGTGACACCCACTAGTGTCATGAGTTCTGTCGTGACTCAGCCCTCACTGCATGCCATGGTTGTAGGGGGGGACACACCTCATCTCACAGCATGGGGGGGGAAACTGCTGCTGGGGGAGGTGGGATGACCCCCCTGCCCCCCCTGCAATCCCCTGGTTGGGGGGGAGAGGCCTGAGCTGGGGGTCTCCAGGGGTCTGTGGGGCCAAACCTGTTTTCTGGGGGGGATTCT